TAATTACACTGTAAAAGAAAATTTAAACAGAAAAGACCAATTTTCAGTCAAGTTATGTATGAATTTGTGTTTTTTTTTTCTTCTGAATTTAAAGCTTGGTTTAGGTAAGTAGCATGAACGTACTAAGAACAACGGACGGAATTCCGTAAACTATCATATTGAAGCACCATAGTAAGCTCGATAACGTTTATTTACACGTTAACACCCACACATTCAAATAATAGTAAGCTCGGCGTCCGCCATTACACTGCTAGCGTTGATGAAGGACACACGCAATAACTAATCGAAATAACTTTTTAATTATGCCAATCTGCGTCGTAAAATGTTGTCCCCGTAGCACTTTACGTGATAAAAAAAAACAAGGAATCACTTTTCACAGGTAAGTTCACTCTTTAACGCATTATTTTGATTATTTTTAATTATATCTTTTCGTAATTTATGTAACAAAATTTTTCTTTGACGAAATTAATGTTGCCAACTTTCGAAATTTTATTTCCCTAACTTTATAAAAAATAAGTAATAAGTATACATGAGATTAAATTAACTAAATTAATAGATACATTAAAGTGATTACCAGTGTTTCCAACGTGTCAAAATAAATCTCCCTTATCACCGAAGTGCTGAACAATGTTCGTTAACATTTTTTAGGTTTCCGAAGGAAAATGAATGGAGAAAAGATTGGATTCAGATAATTAGAGAGTGTAGAAGACAAATGGATTGGAATCCAACAAAATCAAGTGTTGTTTGCAGCGAACATTTTCAAACAAGCGATTTGTACACAACGAAAGGAGGATTGGTACGCGTTGTGACTTATGCCGTCCCACAACAGGTTCCTTTGAATAACTGAAGGTTTGTGTAATGTTATCAATCATGACATGTGTTTGATTTTACAACTTTTTTTATAGTTTTTATGGAAACCACCGAGTGACGAGCAGCAATTTGAACAACCTGCTGTATTGGAAAGATCATTTGAAGTAATTATTTATATTATAAGCTTACATAACATTAATTAAATGCTTATTCAGACAAACTTAACAAACTTTAATTCATTCTAATTGCTTTTTAGGAATCGTTGGATAGACGTGCACTTTCTAATGAAGAAAGACTTCTTCCTATTGAATTCAAAGGGCACACTCCTGTTTCGGAGGTAAAAATGGACAGTTTCATTATTCTTTAATAGTACCTTCATGAGCCGTTAATTTATTTTTTATTACATAGTAACATATAAACACTTATAGTTTGTCTATAATGATTAAATGTAATTCTAAAATTTTCTTTTTTTAGATCTCTTTTGAAGCTGAGAAATTGATCAATAAAACAGATTTTTTGCATTCCACAGATGCACCTTTCCATACCGTAAGTTAATTTATAGTCATGCACATGCTGTAAGTTTACGTTGTGTGGTTTTTATGTAATGCTAAAAGTGTTTTTTTATTTATTAAGGATGCAACTGATGTGGCACCAACGGAAGCAGATTTTGAACAACCTTTGTCAATCCTATACACTCCTAAGAAAAAACGTCTGAAAAAAATAATAATAAAGAAAGATTTGTACATTTCACAGCAAAAACAAAAGATAAAAATTTTAAACCAGAAAATTAGAAGGCTTAAAAATAGAAATACTTCATTAAAAAATATTGTTAAAAAAACGCTTAGGAATGAAAATTTTATCGACACAGATTTATTTAACAAACTCAATGAAGATCTTGTGGCTGCAAATCTTTTCAATGTTTATAACAAAAAAAAGTTACATAAAAATATTAAGTATACACCCGTAATGCGTAAATTTTGTATGACTTTAAATTACTACTCCCCAAAAGCATACGATTATGTAAGGCAAAACTTTAATACGTGTATCCCTCACAGAAAGACCTTATCCAAATGGTATGGTCACCTTAAAGGAGACCCCGGTTTTACGGAGGAATCATTCTTGGCACTAAAAGCTAAGTCTCAGGTAAATGAGCACCGACTTTTGTGTTCATTAACTTATGATGAGGTTGCTATAAGACCACAAAAAATTTGGGACGGGAAAAAATATATAGGACTGGAAGATTTTGGAACAGGTGCGGAAGAAGGTGCTCCGTTGGCCTCGCAAGCCTTGGTTTTTCTTTTGGTTGGTATCAATCAAAGATTTAAATTACCATTAGGCTATTTTTTGAGCAATTCTTTTTTCAGGTGAGCAAAAAGCTAATTTAATAAAACTCTGTATCATAAAATGTTTTGACTCTAATGTTGATGTAGTGAGTTTAACTTGCGATGGCCATACAACTAATTTTAATGCTTTAGAATTGCTTGGTTGTAACTTAAATCCCTATACCTTAAAAACTACTTTTAAACATCCAAGTGATGGTTCTGAAATTGCTTTTATCCTAGATCCTAGCCACGTCATAAAACTGTTGAGAAATCAGTTAGAGTCTAAACGAGAATTCATTAACAAAGATGATAATTTGATTCAGTGGAAGTTTATTCAAGAGCTAAATAAGTTGCAAGAAACCGAAGGTTTACATTTAGGAAACAAATTAACTAAAAAACACATTAACTTCAAAAGTAATATTATGAAGGTAAAGCTAGCCACACAAATTTTTAGCGAAAGTGTCGCAAAAGCTCTTAATGCTTGCAGAAATATATTAAAACTTGAAGAGTTTCAAAACTCTGAAGCTACAGAAATTTTCATCAAACATATTAATGATTTCTTCGATATTTTTAATTCAAAAGGTATGAACCAGTTTGATTTTAAAAGGCCTCTTTGTTCAAAAAATAAAGATCAGATAATTTGTTTCTTAGATATATTGAAAGATTACATTTTAAATATTCAAATAAGATATACCTCCAAAAGAAAAACAAAAAAAAGACGGAAGAACAACCTTTGTAATCACACATTACAATAAACCAGTCGTGACTGCCAAATGTAAGACTGGTTTTATGGGAATCCTGATAAATATAGAAAGCCTAAAATTTTTAGCTCAAAAACTAATCGTTAGTAATACATTAGTCTTTCTGCCTACGTACAAGTTAAGTCAGGATCACCTGGAAATGTTCTTTTCTTGTATAAGAATGCAGGGTGGTTTTAACGATAATCCGAACGTGCGCCAATTTAAAGGATGCTATAGAAAGCTACTAGCACACCTAGAAATAAGATGCGTAACAACTGGAAATTGTGTGCCATTAGAACAAGTAACAATTTTAAACTGTTCTTCCGCTACTCAAATAATAAATACAACTATTTCTACCTACCGTCATGAAGAAGAAGAAAATAAAACTGAACTTTCATTCATGAACCAAATCTCCTGTGAGGATGACAATCTGCTTAGGCGGTTAGATTTAGCAGAGTTTGATGACTACAGAAAATTGATAATAGGATACCTTGCTGGAAGCATAACACACTATGCGAAAAACAAAATAAATTGTCAGGCCTGTACTTCCCGATTAACCACTGATATGAAATACTCTTTTCACAGTCTTATAAATTTAAAAACTAGAGGTGGCTTAAGTTTCCCATCACAAGATGTGTATGAAATTTGTTTGCTCTGTGAAATAGTGGTAAAAAAAAGTAATTAAAGAAAATATAACTATTTACAACGACAAGCAACATAGCTATATGCTGATTAAAATACTAGAAAAATTCGTAGGTAGCGATAAAGTGTTTTTAAATTTAGAGTCTGAGCATATGTACTTGGGAGAAGAACACAAAATAAGTCTAATAAAATACATAGCAGAAAAGTATCTAACCATTAGGTTTCACCATATATCAAAAATGGAAGGAATTCTAAGAACACATGAAAGCAGGAGGCAATATTACAAAAAAATTAACACAACATAAGGGATTTTAGTATTATTTTATTATTTTATAAACTTTATTTACCTCATCAACTAGATCATCGTTGACGTTATTTACGAAAAAAGCCCCGCTCATTAATTTAGTAAATTAATATAATTCTAAATTTTTGTGTACAGAAACGTACGTAATTTCATATTTTTAAGCCTTCTACATTTTAAATAAGCAAAATATAATAGGTTATATAAGTATGAATACAAATATTAATAGAAGACCATAGTGTATTTTTTTCATGTCAGCTTAAGTTCCTATAAAACATTTTGGCAACTAACTTCGTTTGATTTTAACTTATACAAGCTAACTTTCTACTTTTTATATTATTTATAAATTATGAAACTATTATTATAGACTATTATAAGACGTACGTATTTAGTCATATTTATATGTGAATATCAATATAAAATTTTAGGGAAAGTTTCTTCAGCTGGCAACTCTGAAAAACACGCATACATTAAAACCCGCCGCCATTACGGTACTTCAATCTGCACAGTGACAGCACTCCGTCCGTTGTTCTTAGTACGTTCATGGTAAGTAGCGACTTTTTCGAGTTCCGTGTGTTTTATCTATCAAATTTGAGTGCCGATGGCAGTTTCTACACTGGACGG